CTTCTCCTTCCCTCCCTCTCCTTCTTCCTAGCTCTCTCTTTTTCTCCTGGGCGCGACTTTATTTCGTTCCTTTGTTTGTTGATTTATCTATCTCTGTTATTTCCCCCCGTTACTCCTCAGGGACTCCCCCGCCTGCGCGGCCCGTGAGCTGCGCCTTTAAGAACTCCCCCCCTTCGCTGACGTCAGCGCCACCACCGGCGGGGGCGGCGGGGCCGGGCGCGGAGGGGGCCGGGCGGGACCGGGCGGGGCCGGGCGCGGAGGGCGGGGCCGGGCCGGGCGGGGCCGGGGGCGGGCGGCCCCTGCACTTGTTCCTGCCCCTCCCCGGTATCCAGGGACGCGGAGCCGTTGTTGGGGGGGGGGGGTGCCGGGCGGTGCCGCGCACGCGCAGCGCGGGGCCGTTGGCGCCGCTGCGTGACGTGCCGCGCCGCGCAGGCGCGGAGCGGGGCTGCAGCCGTTGCGGCCGTTGGCGCCGCCATGGTGCGCCTGCACGTGAAGCGCGAAGACCAGAGCCAGTTCCTGCTGGAGGCCGCCGTCAGCGACCGCCTCGCCGACCTGGCGCCGCTCGTGGCGCGCATCTACAACGGCCGGCTCAAGGTGCAGCGCCTCTGCTCAGGTACCGGCCCGCCGCKCGCCGCCGCCGCTGCCCCGCCGGGCCCGGCGGGCGCCCGGCCCCGCTCCGCGCCCCCGCAGGAGCCCCGCGCCGCGCGGAGCTGGGCAGGGGCGCCCGCGAGGCCGCGGCGGAGCCTTCCTGCCCTCAGCTGGAGTGTGGTGCTGCGCAGAGCCGCCCCAAGCCTTGCGCACAGCCCCGCCTTCCTCTTTTTTATACCTATAGTATCCGTTAGGTTCTTAGTGGAGGTGCGCCCTGTGGGCCATGTGGCTCTCATGGGGTTCAGTACATGGCTGAGAAGTCACCTGCTGCAGGACATCCTGGGCACCGTGGCTGTGTAAACCTTTTGGGAGGGGAAATGTGGCCGTTGTGTGAAACAAATTCAGGTGTTGCCCTTGGGTGCTAGGCAGCCGTTGTCAGTGGTGCTACCTGCTGGACGTGTCTAAATTGCTGTTTCAGTGCCCGTCAGGAGCTTTCCAAGACTCCATCCCTCGTCTTCCCACAGACCAGGCTTTTGATCTGCCCTGCGGATCGCTCTGGGAATGCGTAACCTGTATGGCCATCAGAGGAGGCTCTCCTGAGGCGTGCAGTCCATCCGCACCTCGTGTCCTCCAGCCACTCACACATATTCAGGGCGTGAGACTAGACCCAGGGCTAATCTGCAAGGAAACACTAGAATATGAGCTCTTTATTTCATGCTGGTTGTGAYTGACCCCTTGGCTCTGATTTGCTGCTGAGGAAGCTGCAGCTCGCCTAGATACACGCTCTCCCCACTACGAAGAAATTCCTTACTGCATAACAATAAAATGTTTTTCCATTTAGTAAGAAATTATTGKCCAAAGGTTCTTAGGAAAAGAAATACACGGCCAGCCACAGCTGACTAATTAAGTGCCCCCTAAGAGGAGGTTTTTGGCAACCAAGTATCATCTAGGTTTGCATTCTCTCATTGCTTCGTAGGTCGCTTTGTTTCACACATTAGGTTCTTTCACATGTTACTGCAGTTCACTGATACTGTATATCAGTGCAGATATATAGTCCTTTTTTTTTTTTTCCTAAATCTTTAGAAACTGAAGTTCTGCAATAAATTCTGCCTGCTTCTTTATATTATAATGTTGTTTGTAAATGATACGTTGTCCTAATGTAGATTTCTAAACGTGTGTTCTGAATGCCTTTTAGAGCTGGAAGACCTGGCAGAGCATGGGATTTCCTTGCCTCCTAAGATGCAAGGACTGACAGATGAACAGATAGAAGAACTGAAATTAAAGGATGAATGGGCAGACAAATGTGTGCCTAGTGGTGGAAGTGTCTTTAAAAAGGATGTCATGGGACGCAGGAATGGACATGGTAAATAAGAGCACAGATRCATATTTTTTTTCATGCAGGAAAAATGACGTCTGAGATCGTGAGGAATGAGATAACCATAATTCTCAACCTGAGAATTTTCTCTTCTGACAGAAGAGAAAATAAAGTAAATACTAAATGTACAATTCATATCAGGCCAGCACATTAGGCAACCCATATTTATTTGCTATTATTGTAAAGATGATCCTATAAATAAACCATATTAAAGTAGTAGCTATGTAAGAACACTATTTTCATAGAAGTTCAGCTAACTTATTAGTGAGACTTGAGTATTAAGTCTTGTGTCTTGGACTAGAGCCTGGTATAATGTTGATTTAAAAGCCTAAATAGTATATATTTTTTTCTCTTCAGCACACATGCTAGYTTATGCTGGTTAACTTTGCAGCCATAATATTTGGAAGTAAGCTCCCCAAATAAGCAAATACCAGAAGCAAGGCAGACTGTTTCATCTTAATGTATTCTCACCCGTTTGTATATGCAGGCTCAGCTAACATTTTTCTCTGGAGGCTCAAAGCTGCCTTCAGTGAATTGGTTGTTCCTCTAGTGTTTCTTTTCCTCATTCCCTGAGACTCCGACTCACTGAACTTCCCCCATCTCTCTTATTTCTGCTGGGGGTGTTTCTGCCAAGGGCTTTTGCTGGAGCGCTCGGTACGTGTATCAGGCACYACCGCCAGGCCAGAGTTGGGAGTCGAGGGCCAAGGGCCCGGGAGAGACCACAACTGTTGTCTTGCTCTCAGCATTGTGACCCTRCTTGGTGGGGCCAGGTGCCCTTTAGAGCCGGGCTCCAGGGCAGTTCAATTAAGATGCAGTCTTTGAATAATTCAGTTACGGTCTTAGCCCGGCACGCGTAAACAACTTCATGWGGCTTACTGGGGGGAAAATAACTCTCCCAGCACAAAACACTCTGCAGTCCAGATTTAAGCCCTTGCCGAACTATTTTAAGAACATAAAATGTTAAGTTTTCCTTCCTAATTGCGTTCTCAGAAGTAGTTGAATATCTCTTGTGCATAGTTGTACTGCCAAAACCTGCCTAGGCCAGGCAACTGACAGAAGGGTTTTGTTTCAAAGTTAGGCAGAGCTGTTTAATGCAGGGCCCCCCCAGTAAAAAACGGCAAGCAATAGCATAAAAATAGATCCACTTTTAACTTTTTTTTTTTAATAAAACTTTCCTTTTATACTTGTGCTCTGGCATTTGATTGTTAGTGGATAAAAGTTCCTCACACCAGTGAGGAAYGCCTTTGTGGAAAGATACATGTAATTAATGCCAGGAGAAATGCTAGGTTGCTTTTAAATTAGGAGGCAGTGTGGTAAGGAACTGTGAGACTAGTGAATTTACTGCAGTTTTGTACAAGTGTGTCATTTATAATGTAATTGTGTTTAATTTGCTTAAAGTAGAAAATAACCTGATCAGGTTGTTTGCTGTTATGTTGTGGCACGTGATGTTAATGTGTGGGACACACATCTCTCGTTTTGTAGCTCCAAATGAAAAAATGCAGCAAGTTATAAGAAAGACAATAGAGGAAGCAAAGGCGTTAATCTCTAAGGTAAGTCTTCTGAAGCACCACGTGGTGTGTGAACCTTCTTAAATAAGGGCTATGTAGATGGGCTGTTTGAGGAAAAAATAGACTTTTTAGTGCCAAGGGTAACAGTTTTGAATAATGTCATGAAGTGACATTAATGTAAATAGTGTGATAAAAATGTGACGATCCTGTTAATCATTTTCCTAAGGCTTCTGGCAAGCTGGTTCAACAAGTTAAAGAATTGAGTATTCAGTTCCAAGCAAATGCTGGCAGGCAAGAGCACACTAAATGATTAAATTGCATTTAATTTTATCCACACATTCTTAATTTGCTATTGATGCATTTTTTAAGTSAATGCTTGTCAGATATTCTAGTGAAAAATTAACTACATTCTGTGATATTCCTGGAATCAAATGCCTTTTGCCCATTAATGTCGTTTGCATTTAATATATAGTTAATTGAGGAATGTGTTTTCATCTCTTAGATTGGCCTTGTTTTTGCAAGCACTTGGATGGCTTCTGAGTTTCAATGACATTGTGTGCTTAAAGATTAACATGAGAGGGTGCTCTGATGGGTCTGTGGTCTAAACTATTGAAGTCTATCAAATGCTCAGATATTCTGTGTTGTGTGTCCAATATCCTATCAGTTTTCTCCAGATAGACTTTTTTTTCTTCTTCTGTTGGTTTGTAACTCACCACCTCTTTTGCCAAATGCAGAGAATTTATTACATATAGTTTTATTTACTGAGGAAAGACTATCCCAGGGATTTGGTCTCCACTTTGCAGGTTTGTCTGGTCAAAGCTTACAACTCTATTCCGTGCTATTATTTAGTGTACAGTATTGCTGCACTGAATTGTTTCTGCGTTCACTGCAGAAATTGCTGCAGCTCGCTGGTGAATGAAAAGAAGCGGTAGTTTGTAAAGTGAGTTTGGCAAATCCTGTTGTGTGAGAGCTAGACAAGTGCTCCTGTTGTTGATTGCCACACAAGTAAGTGCCTATGATCCCCTCACTTTGAAAGTTAGCTTTCAAAGCAAAGGTGGCATTTTTATAGTGAAGAAAAGGGAGGAATGCCTATATGCTWGGAAGAAAAAGTGGATCATCTGAAGTTTCAAAACTTATTGTGATTGCCAKTTCAGTAATTTAATAATGTCCACAAGGAGGCAACATTCTCTTGGTCTCTATTTCTTTTATAAACCTCACTATTAAAATATCAGAATTGCTAAATCCACAATTCTTATAGTAATAATAGTCCTCTTCCAGATGCACTTTCTTTTTTCACTATTGCATTTTGGTTTGACATGATCTCAAGTGTGTTTGATCTTAAAGATCTGTTTGTGAGCTGTGCTTTAGTCTTTTGCTCATGTGTGCTCTGTTTTTTTTATCAAAGTCTCAGGTTTGAGGCCTCTCCAGTAGTCCTCACTTGAATTTGACTGTTTTTGTATCCTGTATCGTGAAGCACAAGTACTTGGAGCAAAAGTTTCCCCACCTGTTTTGCACAGTCATACATGCATGTGCTTGAATGTCTGTATTGCACATACATTTTATTCCTACACTTTTTTTTTTTTTTTTTTTTTTTTTTTTTTTGGCCATTGTAAGAAACTTAAGTAGTGGGGGCGGGGCTTGGAGGGAATTTTGATGTATTTAAAAATCAGTCTTCATTGGACGAAATTTGTACTCACTTTTTTTTTTTTTTTTTGTGCAGCTGGTTGATTTTGCTCAAATATCTGGTGAATTTTTGAACCAACTACAAAGCATTTTTTTCTTCATATTCTTTTAAATGTAACATCTTCTCTGCTTGTATTTCAGAAACAAGTTCAGGCCAATGTGTGCCTTAATATGGAGATGGTGAAAGATGCATTGGACCAGCTCCGAGGGGCCGTGATGATTGTGTATCCAATGGGATTGCCTCCACATGATCCAGTTAGGATGGAGCTTGAAGATAAAGAAGACCTGTTGGGAACTCATGTATGTTATATGTGGTTTATATGTGGTGTCTGAGTTAAATTTATGCTGAGCTGTTCTCCATTTTAGCAGTTCAGGTTASGTGTTTTCACATGGATGTTTAATTTTGTTTGACATCTTTGTTAGATTACAAAAAAAAAAGGCATCAATAGCTTATGTAAAAATGAGGTGAATGAAGTTTGTTTTCAAGGTTCCACACAAAAGCAGAGGTAATACAGATACATCTGGCACCCACTTTTTTTCTGTAATGCCAGCACTGAGAATATATTGCCTAATGAGTTTCTCTTGCATCAAGAYTGAATTTCCATTCAATAGAAACATTGAAATGTTTCTATTCAAGAAAGACTTTAAAAAATATATATTTTTAATAATGCAAATGTTTCTTCCCTCTTTCACCTTGTGTATTTGTTCGTCACAGGCTGGACTTGAAGTTATAAAAGAATCAGAAGCACAATTATGGTGGGCAGCGAAGGAATTGAAAGAAACCAAGGTGCTCTCCGAYTATATAGGCAAAAACGAAAAAACAACCATCATTGTCAAGATCCAGAAAGTAGGTGTTGCTGGAAGTTTCCTTTGCGCATCATTCACCCTTGACTATTTAATTCTTCAGGGAAGAATATTGTCAGTAGATGTATAAAGTGAATTAGACYGAGTGTCTTAAAAGAGTAGACCTATTGTAAACTTCTAAATTTAGCAATACTTTTAATATAATAGAAGTATTTCTGTTAGTTCCTTTGCCCATCAGCTCAATACTGTAGTTGTCATTGCTTATTCCATAGCACTTTTATGAAGTGCAGCAGAGCTGTCTGAACGAAGACTGAAAAATAAACTAACTGCAGCCAGTCGAAACCTTGACCAGCTCTCAGTTGCTTCTCGGTATCCAGAGCAGCTGAGCAGACCCGTTAATTCAATCTATGCTGTTTTTCTAATTGTCTTCCTGAGTGCTCGGGAGGGTTTTTTTTTCCCACTCTACCTTTTGGCCTTTAAAAATCAGTTTTAAGGTTTTGTGTATATGAGCTTTCTCAAAACCTGTTTCCACTGAGTTCACCCTGTTCTTGTGTAAATAAGGGCATCCAAGAGGTGCCTTTGTGAGCCTCAGATGCCTCTGAGATACTTCCCTGTAGGCAGGGCTCTTCCAGAGCTGCCGCTCACTTCCAGGGCAGGGAGAGCTGCTCTGCCACCGCAGGAGGGGGAGTCCTTGAGGCCGAATGCAGAGGCTTACGAGTTTGTCGCTCAGCAGGGAGAGCTGCTTTCTCCTTCCAGTCAGGGGGACTGAAAGCTGGTGGGACTGCACAGCAGCCACCCAAATACAGGCGCCCTGGAAAGCCCTCTTGCAGTTTAATTGCTTATGGTCCCCTTCAGAGAATKCCAAGCAGACAGAGTTTCCCTGCTGCTGCTGCTTTTCTGGTGATGGATGCCTGCATTCTTGGGTTGGAGAGAGAGTTGAGACCACCTTGAACCCTTTTTGTTCCCGAAAGGATTCATCATCCCTATTTAAACTGTTCTGTTTGCCATTGCTGACAATAGGTGTCGTCAGCTATTTTCTGCTGTGTGCATCATTTCTTCCATGAGGACAGTTGCCTTGGGGGGGGGGGGGGAGAAACCAACAAAAACCTTCCTTTATTTGTAGTAACTTACACTGTTTTGTGCCTGTCTCCTTCCTGGCTTTACAAAGCCTTATGCCATCTAGTGTACATATTAGCAGAGAAGTTAAAGATGGATGAGCCCATCAGGAGACAGCTGGAGCGMTTGTAAAGGTGAGAGATTTGCTGCGCCTTTCAGAGCAGAAGTTTAAGTAAAACAGGCTAAAGAATCCTCTGTGCTGCCCCTGTTGCTGTCCACACAACTAACAGAACAACTGAGATGCTAAGATGAAAGATTAATTCTCACTTGAATGCAGCATTTTCATTTTCCTGTCCTGCAGGACGAGTTAGGYTTGAGATGTTTTGTTGTCTCAAGAAGGATTTTTCTGTCTTTGCATAGCAGCTTCTCCTGTTCTTGCTTGTGTTACTGTTGCCATCACCAGTGAAGTTTGCTGCTTCCCTTTCAGAAGGGGCAAGGGGCTCCGGGACGTGAGCCTGTGATCAGTCACGAGGAGCAGAAACAGCTGATGCTGTACTACTACAAAAAGCAGGAGGAGTTCAAGGTAAGGTGCCTTCCTGCTGCGCCGCGGTCGGCTTTGGCGGCCGTCGAGTGCCCCTTCCTTCATCGCCGACCTCTTCGCCTGTTCACAGAAACTAGAAGAGGATGAGGACGACTCCTTTCTGAACGCCGAGTGGGCTGATAGCCAAGCTTTGAAAAGGCAATTTCATGGTGTGAAAGACATCAAATGGGGGCCGAGATGAAGCTCTGCAAACACATGAGTTTTTTTGTCTTTAAGCTGCTTGATTGATGCACTTGTTTGCAAGGAGGAGCTGTGTTAGTGCAGGGCAGAGCCTTCGGACTGAAGCTGAAATCTCCTGTCCTGGCAGACGTCTGTTTCAGGACAAGGTTTTTCAATTTACACAGTTTACACTTCGGTAACTCTCGCTACACCTGTGTCTGGAGGAAAAAAAAAAAGAAAAAAGAAATCAACCCTGTTATAGAGTTCTTTGTTTTTATTAGAAACTTGTAATTTTAATATTGAAATATTAAACTATTTCCTAATTAATATATCTAATAAATATGCACTAGAATGTTGACTGCTGTTCCGAGTGGTATTTATACTTTCTCGACTCTTGTTTTCCCTTCGGGCAGTATGGTCTTTTGAAGTTAGTTTTTCATAAGAATCAGTTTTCCCTGGCTAATTCAGTGCAAATTCAGTGTTTTTATCTTCTTGCTTGTATTTAAACGTAGCTAGTTTTAAATCATCATYTTTAAATGAATTAAGTCTTAACAGTTGTTTAAACAAAGTATTTTGTGCAAGTTTTAATGAATATCTTCCTAGGATACCTTTATTCTTTGGATTTAGTTTCCTTTGACGTTGCAGAGCAACCTGCTAAGCTCAGCCAGTGGAACAAGCTATTAGTGGTGATGCTTTTACAGAGTGACAGAAACCTTTTTACAAAAGCGAGCATCACTTGCAAAGGGATTGCAGAGTGGAAACAAGGGCAAGATCTTCAACACCAAAGTACTTCTAACATTGTAATTGGATTAGAAGTATTTTGTTTATAATGAATTGGCATTTTAAACAGGGCAGAAAATTAGTTTATTACAGTGTGTTTCCACAGTGTATTACAGTGTGCTGTTTTCAATAAATGTTTAATGTTTAGGATTGAGCTAACTTCTTTTTGAGGGCATCACGTATCAGTTCCGAGTTGAGGACTAACCAAGGCAGTTCCAGTAGACTCGAAGCAGGGGCTGCCCTAGGTTTTTTTGAAGGGAGGGTTCTCATTTGGGGTTGCTTTACGAGGAAGTGAGCGTTGATGGAACATTGATCTCTAAGAGCAGGTTCGCCGGGCTTTGCCCACGCTGACGCCCGGGACGGGCTGTTCCTCTGGCGGGTGGGTGAGTGTGGCCAGCAGCAGCAGCAGCGCGAGGGCCTCCTTCCCAGCCCGGGGCAGGTCCCCGGGGCCGCCGGGAAGCTGGAAACAGACCATTTCGTGATTTCCTTGGCATTGCAATCCACAGGGGAAGGCGAAAGCTTTTGATGCGTAGCTGCAGTTGGCGGCAGTCACAGAAATCACGCTGAGGCTGTGACTGTCCCAGCTCTGCTTGCGAAGCCCCCAGAAAGCCTGGCCCCAGCACGCGGGCCGTCCGGCCGGGGCCGTCCTGCYGTCTGCCCCTTCCTTCCCTCCGAGCTGGCAGGCCCTGCTCCCTTGGCTTCACGTGTGGCTATTGACCGAGAGCCTAAACTTCAGAAATGATTCTGCCTGGAGAGTGGTTTTTTCCTGTTTGGGTAGTGGTTTGTATATATGTTTAGTTACATATGTTTCTATATAAATATGCCTGTGTATATATACTTTGAAAATCAAAAGACTGTACTTGTAGMTGAATAATTTAGGGTTGTTGCAGATTTGTTTTTTTCCCCTCTTCTAATGAAGTTGTAGGATATTTATGTGGTTTTGGCAGCTCCAAAAAAACGCAGSCTTGTTTATAATCTTCCCAAGCCCGTAGTTTAGAAGCCTGCGCTGCTTCTTATCCAGCAGGGAGTTCTCATGTGGAGGTTCCTAYGCTCGCTTCCTCCAGCATCACTTCTGTTTCCTGCACTCCTTGCGGCAGCTCTTGCCAAATCTCAGCCTTTTTCCCTACGAGAAGCCAGCTGAGGACAGGGGGCAGTGCCAGGTGTTTGTCCTGCCACCCCGGCCCCTCTCCCTGTGCCGGGAATGAGCTCCTTTGCGGAGCTGCCGCCTGGCAGCGGGGCAGCCCCTCGGCCTGTGGAGCCTCCTGCGCAGCTGGCCGCCGTCATCCCAGCCCATGGAGTTACAGGGTGACCTTTCCTCGGGTGGTTATTTACCATCATTTATGGACTCCRGAACATGCTCCTGGAGTGGGTAGCTCTCTGCCTGCTTCTCTTAGCTTGAAAAGTAACTTTCTGTGTGTGGGGGGGGGGACTTCGTCATAACTGCATTAGTTATTAGATTAGTAGCCTTGGCAGGAAGTAACCCAGATGTTTTGGATCAGTTATAACGACCGCCGGAAAGTATCAAGCCGAATCCCCCTCACAACTAAAGCTTTCCTTTTGAATTAATACTATTCTGCAGAGTTTGTTCCGCGGGCTCCCAGGCCTGTAAATAACTGAAGTCATTTTTGGCTGTTGGCCATTTAATGTCCTTGGTAGCTGCTCCGCCGGCGGAGGAGACGGAATGGAAACGGCGTGCGCCGAGGTGCCGCCGCTGCTCCCCGCGTTACAGCCCTGGGACCCGCCTGCAGCTGCAAGCAACGAGCGCGCCTGGCAAACCCATCAAAGGAGCCCGGAGTTTTATTACGTTTCTGAGGCTTGCCGGGAGTTGTTTCTGTGAAAAAGATACGTTTAATTGCCACCCTATAAAAGACGGAGGCGGGAATTAGGAGCCTTTGATTCTGAGGTTTATCGTGTTGCCGTTTCCTGAAAGGTGAAGAAAAAGTGAGCATCGAAAATAACTGTCAGAGCAGAAGCTGCTGACCCTGATTAACCGCGTTAGCCGAGGAAAAGAAATCCGGAGTATCCGTGTTCCTTGGGGTCCTCACAGCAATGGGGGCAACTGCAGAGCTGCTGCCTTCGGTTGCTCTGCTGAAGCTAGAATGAACTTTCCTGGAAAAAGATGAAAAGACCAGAACAAAGCCCAGGCCTCCAGATACGTTAATATCTCCTCTAAAGAAGTTGAGAATGGAGAGAGCAAACCTACGTGTAGTGCTCGTAACTTGTGAAGGCACCTTATCTTCCAAACTGTTTATTCCTGCAAGTTTGATAGCTAACATGCCCTTCTGGAGGGGGGAAAATGCGTTTCCTATCAAAGGGCACGTACCAGGGAACGCTGCCGCGATGTTTATTTTGTGGCCGTATCGCCCTTCCGATGAATGGACATTTATACGGCGTTGGCACTGAAACGGCAGCCTGCAACGTGCTGCAGAGGGCCCGGGGAAAGGCAGGTTTCGGCGTGAGCCGGAGCGAGAGAGGGCAGCTCTTGCGCTGGGTGGGCAGCCCCGGGAGCGGCCTGTGGCCGGGGTGCCCCTTGTGGGCTCCGTTCCTCRTCCTGTGCTCCGGAGGGTGCTCCGCAAGCGCGCCGCCTTCGGGCCCGCTCCCGCCCGCCGCTTGGCCTGGCTTCTGCAGACGTAGTCTCCTGTTTGAACTCACTGCGAGAACGCAACGCACAAAAACAGCTCGGAAACTGGAATTTGGCTCTTGCGCTGGAAAGTCTTACAGTAGGGTGCCTCTGATCCRTGCAGGACATCTTTAAAATGCTGCAGTTGCGTTTTGTTGTTGTTATTTTCCTTTACTTTCCCGCTGTTGCCCACTTTGCCCAGCAAACAGCTGTTTTTCCTGATGCCATAAAGGCAGCGGGTTCTGCTCCATCCCGTCAGGAGAGAGGGGCTGGAGCGGGTGGCCTGGCTGCAGGCTGCCAGTGCGGGAGGAGGAGGAGCGGGACCAGGAGCACAGGGAGCTGCCGCGTTGCACATGGCTGGCGTCTCGCCTGCCTGCAATCCCTACTCCTGCTCAGCCCCGATCCCTGCAGGAGCTGAGCAGCTTTGGGGCATCCATCACTGCCTTGCAGCTCCTGTGGGGCTGGGAAGGACAAGGACCTCTTGCCATGGCCAGCAGCAGGATCTTCCACCCAGGAGAGGTCGGTGTGAGGGACCTCCTGGTTCTGTGCCTTCCGGGATGGTAGTCATGGAAAAGACGTTGGCCTGAGGGCTCCAAGGATGATGTTTCTCTGGGTAGCCGTGCTGCATCACTGAGTCACAGCATGACTGATATTGGAAGCAACTTCTGGAGATCATCTCCTCCAACCCCTCTGCACAAGCAGGGTCACCTACAGCATGTTGCAGAGGATCACATCCAGGTGGGAGAACATGTGCAGAGAAGGAGGCTGCACAACCTCGCTCGGCAGCCTGTTCCAGGGCTCTGTCAACCACACCATCAAGAAGTTTTTCCTCATATTCAGACAGAACTTCCTGTGCTTCAATTTATGGCTGTTGCCTCTTGTCCTATCCACCGAATAGCACCTGTCTTCATCCTCTTGACACCCTCCCTTAAGGTATTTCTACACTTTGGTAACACCCTCCGCCAGCCGTCTCCTGTTTAGGCCRAGCAGTCCCACATCACTCAGCCTTTCCTCATAGGAGAGACACTCCAGCCCTCTGCTCATCTTTGTAGCCCTACCCTGGACTTCCTCCAGTAGCTCCRTGTCCCTCCTRTTCTGGGGAGCCCAGCACTGGACACAGCGCTCCAGGGGTGGCCTCGCCAGGGAGGCTGAGTAGAGGACAGGATCACCTGTCTTGATCTGCTGGCACCTCTCTGCCTSACACACCCCGGGATACCTTTGGTCCTCTTGGCCACAAGGGCACGTTGCTGGCTCGTGATACACTTGTTGTTCACCAGCACCCCCAGGCCCTTCCCCACAGAGCTGCTCTCCATCAGGTCAGCTGACRCTTGCTCTGTCCCTTTATCTATTGATTAAAAAGTTGAACAAGACTGGACCTGTACAGACTACTGGCCTCCAGCTAGACTCAGCACTGCTGCTCTCAACACTCTGGTCTCTGCGATCCAGCCAGTTCTCAGTCTACCTCACTGTCCATTCATCTACCCCACACTTCCCGAGCTTGCCTGTGAAGATGTTATGGGAGACAGTGTCAAAAGCCTTGCCGAAGTCAAGGCAGACACCATCTACCATTCTCTCTGCATCCACCCAGCCAGTCATTCTGTCAATAAGGCTAGCAGCTTGGTTAAGCATTATTTCCCCTTGGTGAATGCATGCTGATGAGCCCTGATCACCTTCTTGTCCTCCACATGCTTAGAGATGGCATTTGGGATAAGGTATCGATCACTTTTCCAGGGACGGAGATGAGGCTTGCAGGCCTGTATTTGCCTGGG